CTTTTTCTACGAAATGACCCCTGATTAAAACCATTAACATACCGATGGTGATACGGCTGTGGTAAAATGCAGATAGAGACATACATTCAGCGGTACATCCACTCTCGGCAGGCTCTGGCTGGAAATAAAATTGGAAATGCAGCTCCTTATTTAAATGCCTAGCGGAAGAGCTCCGTTTTCATGGCCCCGCAGAACTGTGAAATGTCCCGCAGGGCCCTGATCTCGTCCGGAAGCTCATTCCAGTAAGTTGGAGCTGCCACAGAAAACGCCCTGGTCCTGGTCGATACCATGTGACAACTGTTTTGTTTTTTATAAATGCGTATCCCGGAGGTCCCGAAAAATTTTGATCCTGTGGGCACCTTTGGAATTCTGACATAGGGCAGTGGGCGCGGTCAAAAAAACTGGCAGCCACAAAATGGCAGCTGCCGAAGGCGGAGCCAGCCACAGAATAGCTGCCACAGCTTACCTTCACTGAATACAATGGGACCACGGAGATACTTAGTGGAATAACAAGAACACACTGTGTTAAACACAAATTACTTAAAGACAGAGTACACTCAAGTACTGCTTAAAGGCATATGTCTCCAGTACAGTTTATAGGAATATAATGCATAGAGACAGAAATATATATCCTATGGTATGCCCCACGTACACTTATAATGACTGTCGAAGCACAATGGCTTCAAGACAAATTACACATACACAAAGAAAACCTCCCCCAAAGCAAGACCAGTACAGCAGCTATGTGCAGTCCTTGAATGTGGCTTCAAGACAAATTACATACGCATATATGTATGTCATTTGTAGGTAATTACAGCTGTTGACCTTTATAACCTTAGCTTGTTATTTCGTTTTGTGTTGCATATCTTAAAGCATCCCCATCAGGTTACATGTTAATTTGCCAATCATCCCATCTGTAAGTTTGAACCTTAGCTACCATTCCAATGTATTTGAAAAAGTGTGCATGCCCATGAAAGCTCACACCTTGACTAAACCTTTGTTGGTCTTAAAGGTGCCGCTGGAGTCTAAATTTGTTCAACTGCTTCAGACCAACACAGCTGACCACTGTATACACCAGGGGTGTCGAACTCATTTGTTATGAGGGATCTGACATAAACGAGACCTCGCCGGGCCGGGCCATGTGCGTCATAAAATGTAATGCCAGGTAGCGGAGATATAAACTTTATAAAGGACACAAACACAAAGGGGTTTTTAAAACTTAAAATAAAAACATGCTTAAAACAATATTTTCTTGCAATATTTTCTTTATTTAAGAGTGTCTGATAACTGACACCTCTCGCCCTGAATCATTGCATCAGAATGTCTGGGCTGTTGCAGTCTTGAGCATGCTGTTCAGGTGTGTTATCTGTAAGCTGCTAACCTACGATGATGCAGCAGCAGCAGCAGAAATGGAAGAAGAAGAAGAAAGACAGCCAGTTCCACTGCGGGCCTGATAGAAGCCCTCCGGGGGCCTGACCCGACCCCCAGGCCGCATGTTTGACACCCCGGTAAACACCGTATACATACATTTTACCTTCAGTCCCACAGTGAAGATCCTTGTGTGGTGGATGGCAGCTGCTGCCAAACCCGTGTTTTTAAAAATCTGCACAGCCAATGAAATCTCCCGTGGCCAATCGGAAGCCTTGCTGGAGAAAAGCCCCGCCTGCCCTCACCAACCTTCTAGAACACCAAGCGGCAGGGGTCGTTTCGTAGAAAAAGAGCTAGGGGGACTTGTTAGCATAACTATTTAGCATATGCCACACCCCCTGACATCACCGGAAGTGTGTCATAAGGCCACACACCCCGCCCCCAACGGTCCCGGCCGCCGCCGGCCTTGCAGCTCCACTG